TAAAATATTCCATGTGAAATTACTTAGTAGTTTGTTGTACTAGGCAGTGAATTCCAGAAATTATGCACAATAGCTAGAAAGATGTGCTTGTTCTCATCACATTGAGATGATATATATTTTAGATGACAAATATGCTAATAGCTTTGATTTTCTCATTATACAACATATGCATGAACTAAAACATGACATTTCCCCCATGTGTATAATTTTGTATTAATCCATTTTTTAATTTTTTAAGATTTATATGAATATTTGAAGTTTCTGAAGTCAAACTTTATTGCAGAAAAATAAGGTGAAATGGCTTTATTGTATGATAAGATGTATTGAAATCTACTTACTTTAAAGCTATTATATTGGCTAATTTAGTGTGACCAACTGTCATATGCTCAGAGGACGTCTTTGCTTCCTATTGTCGCTATCCTCTCATTATTACCTGAACCAAAACAAACCTTTATTTCTTTAAGTTGTTTTTGTCTGGTATCTTGTATTGGCTGTGAAAATGCTACTAATACATCATTCCCATTGAATTAATGATTCAACAGAAACCCTGTCAAAATGCTAGTGCTATTCCTAAAATAAATAGTACATAACAACCATGAAATACATATGATGAAATAAAATCCCTCAAATGTCCACAAATTCTGGGCATTATGGAAAACTGGAGTCATAATAATATCCAAAAGAAATAGTAGCTAATTAATAGAAGTGAAATGTTGGAACCACAACTCTTTCATTTAGTCTTCTCCATAGCTGTTGCATTGGAGTATTTCTTCCTTTGTATCTGATAATGTTTGCTTCATAAAATTAAGTGTTCTGACATTGGCTGCTAATGTTCTTATGCTTCCTTGTTAACTTGATCATTTATTAACAAGACCTGTATCTCTTTTTGTGGTCTTTAATTTCAAGCCTACATTATCAAATATAAGCATATCCTGTTTGATTTTGGCTTCATCACTGTACTTTTGGTCTGTATCTTTAAGACTAATGTCACAGCAATTACCAAGCCCCTTCCCTGATAATTAGTTCTCATAATATAACAGGGTACCATTCAGGTTTCTGGGTAGAAATTTATCAAAAACCTTTGAAGCAAGCAGGGGAAACTGTGCTCCACATTCTAATAGTAGCAGTAGCATGCTAGGGAAAACAATCACATACCTGCTATGGGATATATTTTCATGATTACTTTTGTAAACCTATGGACGGAGATATCGTAGACACTATAAAAACTATTTTCCTAAATGGAAATAGTATTTGGCTGTCTTATAAATAGTTAACCTCACAGCTACAGATTAACAAAGCCCTCAAAACTCAGCACAGAAGCTTGGACGTAGACTATTTCAGAGAATCACAACTGTTCAAAGAGCAAAGGGCAATTAGAGCATAATGCCTATATCCAACTGTAGGAGAGGAAAGGTAAAGGTTACAAGGGCCTAGGTCCAGAATAACTGTTGAAAAACATTGTCATCTAGACATGATGTGAGTTTCGCCTTTAGATGAATTATCCCCTTCACATTCTTTAAAAGGTTGATCTGACTATGGTTGCAATGGTAACATTAATTTCACTGGGGTACCTTGCCACTTTTTGATTCCCTTCCACATGTGATACTCATGCCTGGTACTGTAAATCTAGCCAAGAACCATGGCTTTGGGGGTCATAGACCTACCTGAAGCTAGAAACTATTACTATTATTTTGCTAAATTGATATAGCATTAAAATCTATTCTAAATATTTATCTTTATATCTATAGATTAATACAGTTCCCCACTCTCAATAATACCAACAAATAAAAAATTGATATTTTTCTCCACCAAATGATCTAGGGTCTCAATATTCTATGCACTTTGGTCCATATTCATGGGAAATTATAATTTAATCTACAAATATTATCTGAATATTAACTACATATACTTCTTTCCTTCCTTCCAACACTTCTTCTTTGTCAGGAAGTATCACAGCTGGTGCCTAGAATACTGGTTCTTTCAATGATTATGCAGTTCTCAGAGAACTGCCACATAGACCTCAATGCCTCTCAAATTTATCTCTATCTCCCTTCTCCTAATTGGGGTATGAACTTTAAAATCTAGTAGTTTTCTTCTTACTGCTCCTAGTCCTCCAAAGCTGAGGTAGGTTTGAATGGTCTTTAAAGTTAACATTTCCTTCTTTCTTATGTTATATTTTTTTTTACATTAGATTCTGAGTGTGGATGTGGTACTTAAAAATACCACACAGATTTATTTTAAAATATAACATAAGGTTTACCACAGTTCATTTTAAGTTCCAAAAGGCCTTATTTTTTAAAATTGTTTATCAGAATGATGTACAATAAAAACAAAAAATGCAGAGTATAGATTTGTAGATCATTTTTACTATAGAGAAAAGGATTTATTAATCTCACAAATATTTACAATACTTTGAGTGACAAATTAAAACTTTCAAATATTTCCCTACATATAAAATAACTCTTATGTTAATATAACACCTAATCCAGTTAGTAGCATTTGCATTCAGATTCCAAACATTCTCTAAATCATTCCTATTCCAAGTGTATACATGTAACATCTATCACTAGATTCTTAATGTCATACTGTCAAATTCAGAAAGGCGGTGCTTGAATTAAATACTGTAGTTCAAGCTTTAACATGGAAATGAAAGTTGATCTAAGTTGACAGTTCCCTAGAAATAATCATTCTGACATGTCAAAGACGGGACATGACTAGATCTCTACATTATTCAAAAATGATGGCATCTAGGGAAGGGAAAAAGTGACAGATAGTTCTACAGACATGAATTAAACACCTCAACAGTAGAAAATATTGTAATTCATGGGGTCATTGTTGAGCAAGAGGGCTGAGAATACAGCAGTGTATATACCCTTCCATCTCTCCCACCTTGTTTCTAACTTTCTTCTATCTTCATTGAATTACCAAAGTATGATAAAACTTTTCAAATTTGGCATCCATAGCCAGTGACAATATTTAAAATGTTATTTCAGTGTTTAATAAGTACTCAGAAGTATAAATGCACTAGCAAACAGTAGTCATCTTCCACCTAAAATTTTAGATTTATTAACTCCATTCTGTAATAATATCTTTGTGAAGTAGGCAAGAGTTTTAAAATAAATTAAAGTACTGTTTGATTGCTTATTTACACCTGAGATTAACTTTTACTACTAAATATTTTCCCTGATCTTATACTTTTTTAAAAACAATAAAGTGAAGGATAAATTAGATTTAATAAGTTTTTTTTTAAGTCAGCTCAAATATTCCCCATCAACCCACAGAAGAAATTAATATTTCTCACATGATACCATTCAAATGAAGCCTCAGTGGGCAAGGATTTCTTCCAGATTTGTGTGGTAGCTAAGATACCTTTGCTCAATAGAACCTGAGAAATCAGTGGTCAGTTCACAGCAGCACCACTCAATGGAGTTAGCCTTTGATAGCAAACTAGCTAAACTTAGTAAACTGTTTCATTTCTTGCACTCTGCTAAAGCTAGAATTGATAGATAACTCCAGAAACTCTGACTGACTAGTGTTTACTTGGGGAACAAAAATTTGGAAAGTAAAAAAAGAAATCTTTCTGAGATAATTGCTGAGACATTGTAGATTCATTTTGTATTTATAGTAAGAAAATATTTGTGGTGATATGTAATAACTAGAGAAGGATGAACATAATATTTATATCATGGAACAATCATTAGTTTTAATTAGCGCATCTCAATCCACACTGTCATAATATTTTCTCAAAGTTATTTACAAATATCTAAGAAAACTTTGACATTCAATTTCTTAATTTAAACAGTAAGCAGTTTTGTTTAAGTACAATGACAGTTTTCATGATATCAAAATTTTATACTTAACGTGCAGAATATTTCATATTGGCTCAATGTTTATATAAGCTTTTGCTACAGATTAAACATTATGTGAACATCACCTATTGCATTTTATTAAACAGCAATAATAAAACTACTTTTGAACTTCAAATCAACAATTTAAAATCTGTTGTTTAGGTAAACTAATTCCTAAAATTCTTCATGAAAATTTTATTATGCATTGTTTATAATTTAGCTGTTGGGAAAGTACAAAGCAGAGCTTTATCTACTTAATTAAGCTTAAAAGGTTATTTCTTTTATTTTTGAGATTATTGGGCTATTTCATTATTTCCTTTTTCCCTTCGAAGAACTCTCATATATGGTTCCTTGTTGTTTTTCAAGTTCATGCTTCCTTTTTCATTAATTGTTCATCACTTGTAGTTAGTTGTATACTGTACTTGCTGAAGACCAGATTTCAGTTCATAACACACTCTTGAAGGCAGTTCACAACTGTATATAGATAGCTACAGCTCCACGGGATCTGGCTTCTGCAGACTTGTATGCATGGGGTGTACATAAGCTCATCAAGGCACATGCATATACACATAAATAAATATAAGTAAATATTAATGATAGCAAACAAATAATGGACTTCACTTTTGTTTTGTCATTCATTGATATACTTTATTCTCACTATCCCCTCTTAACTTGCAATTATGAAAGTATTGACAATAATTAGATATAAAATATGACCAAGTTTTAGCATGAAAATTTCTTCTTATACTCACATTACCAACTCTATAAATTTTCTAAAATTCTTGGTGAAGTGACACAGTTCACTGGAAATCAAAGTATAAATATTTATAGAGGCAAAGCAAAAAGAACTACTTCAAACCTACTGTTCTTCTAAATTCCATTGTAAGTATGATAAAATTAATATTTTATTATGATTTGCAATAACTATATCTCTTCATCTTAACCCACTCATTCCCTTACATTACAATCTGTCGAATTTTAATGAAAATCATTAACATTTTTATGCCATGTGGACCTAAAGTACTGGAAATTCAGATTATTTATCTAGTCTGTGTCCTTGAGATTGGAGAAAGTATAAATATAAATTAAAACAATTTGTAAATCTCAAGTTTGCTCAATAGTTATTGTGTGTCTTCTATATTTAAACTCTAGGTTTGGACATCATACATGTTTGAAACATGTTGAAACACATGTTTCAAGTTTAAAAAAAAAAGCATGAAGGAACAGTGATGACATACAGTATTGGGAAAATAAGGCCACTATGACTGAACCAAAGAAACTGAGAATGAAAACTTGTATGAACCTGAAAAACCAAGATTCCAGGTAAGACAACACAAAGTCAGAATACAACATCTCAAAAATAGTGTATTTCTCTTCCATTACAGAAAGCAGAAGCATGTACAAAGGTGCAATTGTATCTGAACTGAGAAAGTTAAATGATGTGAAAGACAAATTTATTGGCTCAGGAATTTGGTCAGATAGAAAATATTGGAAGATTAGCTACAGAGTGTCAATGAGATGAAGGGAATGAAAGGAATTCAGATATGCTTGCAATTTTGTTTATACTATGTTTATTACATAAAACCATGAAATTTTGTAGTAGTAAAAAAAACAGAGATTGGGAGAGAGAGAAATAAAAGCTCACTCTTAAATTTCTATGTGTTCATTTTTTATTGAAAATGTTTTGATACAACACAGTCTTTTTGTCCTTATATATTTCTTTATTTTCTCTGATCAGGGTTTCATCTTCCACAACTTCTCACATAGCCTTCCCACCTGGTGCTTGTGTAGAGTTGTCTACTCATTAATATAAACTAAACAGAAAAATAATTGTGTTTGTGGAATGACCAGAAAAAAAAAGTTCAGTTAAAAACTTGGGTACAGACCTAAACAGAGAAATCTCAACAGAAGAATGTCACATGGCAGAGGAACATTTAAAGGAATGTTCACTGTCCTAAGCCATCAGAGAAATGCAAATCAAAACAACTCTGAGATTCAATCTGAAATCTGTCAGGATGGCTAATAACAAAGACACAGATGGCAACTTATGTTGGAGAGGATGAGAAGTAAGGGAAATACCTACCTAATCCAGGTAGGAGGGCAAACTTGTATAGCCACTTTAGAAATCAATATGTCTTTACTTTTTCAGAAAATTAGAAATCAATATATCTCAAGACCCAGCAATACCCCTCCTGATGCATGTACCCAAACAATGCTCATGAGGATAATTGCTCAACAATGTTCACAGAAGCTTTTTTTGTAATGGCCAAAACCTGGAAACAACCTCAATGTCCCTCAACCAAAGAACGGATAAAGAAAATGTGGTACACTGACACAAGGGAATATTACTCAGATGTTAAAAACAATATTAGAACATTTGAAAGCAAATGGATGACCTTAGAAAGACATTCTGTGTGAGATAACCCAGAACCAGAAAGTCAAACATGGTATATTCTCCCTCACTAGTACGTATTAGCTGTTAAGTAAAGGATAACTATGCTATAATCCTCAGACCAAGAGAGACTAGGTAACAAGGAGAGCCCAAGCAGGGAATGCCGAAACCTCCATGGTAAAGTGAAATACAAGAGATCTCCTGGATGGTTTGGGGGACGATTATGGATGAGAAAATGAGGAATCTGGTTGGGGGCTAGGTGGAGAGAGAGAATAATGAAAGAGATAACTTGAAATGGAAGCTTTTCTGAGCCATGTTGAAACCTTAAGTAAGGGAAACTCCTACAAATCTACAAGGATGACTCCAGATAAGCCAACTAACAATAGTGGATATGTAGCCCAAATTGGTCATCCCGTGTGATCATATTGGTGACTACCCCAATTGTCATCAGAGAGCCTTCATAAAGTAACTAGTGGAAACACACAGAGATCCACAGCCAAGCATTAGTCAGGGCATGGGGAATCCTTCTGAAATGAGCAAGCAAGGATTATAGAAAACAGGGGGGCCAAACACATCACAAGGAAACCCACAGAAAGAAATTAACCTGACTCATGGGAGCTTACAGAGTCTCAAACAACAACCAGGGAGCCAACATGGCACCAAACTAAACCCTCTTTCTATATAGGACAGTTATGTAGTTTTATCTACTTGTGGAACACATAACAAGAAAAGCATAATTTAATACTTTTGCTGGCTCTTGGAAGCCTATTCCCCGTGCTGGAATGTCTTTCCCAGTCTAAATACAAGGAGAGGTGCTTGTCTTATGGGAACTTTATATGCCATGTTTTGTTGATACCCATAAGAGGCCTTGTGTTTCTTAATAGAAACAGAGGAGGAGTGGATTGGAAGAGGGAGGCAGGGAAGAATGGAGGCGGGACAAGGGAATGGGAGTATAGTGGGAGGGGAAACAGCTGTTGGGATGTAAAACAAATAAATTAAATAAAAAATAGAATTCTTAGGTAAGCTTTGTGCTTTTGTTTGGCAAGAATGGTCAGGCTAGGAATGATAAAAGGGCAGGAGATTACATCATAGCTAAGGTTTAAAATGATGTTTCAAGTAGCTGAAAAATCTTGACAGAAGATTGCAGAAAAATAATCCTGATGTAGGAGAGAACCCAGTAATTTGTAATATTTAATTAGTACCTATACTATTTTAAGCTGCAAAATCCAGTTACTAATTGATGACACATTCTCAAAAACACAATAAAGGTTTATCATTATGTCCCAAGTTATAGGCAGAAAGGAGCAGGAAGCTCTGAGTGACTGTACACATTATAGCAGATGTCTGTAGACAGAAATGTATTCAATGTTTCAAACATGGAAGAATGATTTCTAATGTTTCTGCAATAAACACTTGAGGAAATGTTTATATTTAAAATGGCTTAAACAAGCAATATGCAAATGTATCAGTTTTTTTGATACCACTGTCGATGTACATGATTTTTAATATGTTCATTAGTTGGAGGAAGAAAGGACAATAGGAAAAATCATATTTTTCCCTTGAAAAATTTAATTAGAAACAATATTATTTTATATATCAATCCCAGATCCCTCTCCCTCCCATTCACCCATGTCCCCAGTGATCCTCAACCCATCCCTCTTCTGCACCATACAAAGGGTGAGGCCTTCTATGGGGGATCATCAAAATCTGCCACATCATTTGGAGCAGGGCCTAGGTCCTCATCCATATGTCTAGGTTGAGAGAGCATCCCTCTATGGGGAATGAGCTCCCCATATCAATTCCTACACTAGGTATAAATGTGTTCCATTACCAGGGGCCCCATATACTGCTCAGGCCTCCTAAATGACTCCCACGTGCAAGGGACCTGTACCCATCCTAGGCTGGTTTCCAAGTTGTCAGTTGGGGGTCCATGAGCTCCCCCTTGCTCAGATCAGATGTTTCTGTGGGTTTCCCCAGCACAGTCTTGACTTCTATGCTCACCACTCATCTCTTTCTACACTTGATTTCCAGAATTAAGTTCAGTGCTTTGCTGTGGGTCTCTGCTTCCATTTCCATCAGCTACTGGATGAAGCACTATAATACCACTTGAGGTAGCCATCAGTCTCATATAGGGGAAGGGCATTTAAGATAGCCTTTCCACTATTCCTTAGATTCTTAGTTGGGAACATCCTAGTATATCTTTCACATTTCCCTAGTGCCAGATTTCCCTTTAAACCAATAATGGCTCACTCTATTAAGATATCTCTTTTCTTGCTCTCCTCTATTCTTCCCCAACTCAATATTCCTGGTCCCTCATGTCTCCTTTCCCCCTCCTCTTCTCCCCTTATCTTTTTCCTAACTCCCTCTCCCCTTCCCTAAGCCCCTAAGGCTCATTAGATCATGTCCCTTTTCCCTTCATTGGAGGACCATGTATGTCACTCTTAGGCTCCTCCTTGTTTCCTAGCTTCTCTGGTGGTGTGGATAGTCAGCTGGTAATCCTTTGCTCTATGTCAAAAATCCATATTTGTACATACAATGTTTATCTTTTTGTGACTGGGTTACCTGGATGGTTTCATCTACCTCCATCCATTTGCTTGTGAATTTCAAGATTCCATTGATTTTTTCTACTAAGTAGTACACCATTGTGTAAATGTACCACATTTTCTCTGTCCACTCTTTGGTTGAGGGGCATCTAGGATACTTGCAGGTTCTGGCTGTAACAGATAATGCTGCTATGAACATAGCTGAACAGATGTCCTTGTTGTATGAATGTGCATCCTTTAGGTATATGCCTTAGAGTGGAATTGCTGGATCTTGAGGTAGACTAATTCTCATATTCCCAAGGAACTGCCATACTGATGTCCAAAGTGGCTGTACAAGTTTGTGCTCCCACCAGCCGTGGAGGAGTTTTCCCCTTTCTCCAAAGTTAGCATAAACTGTCATTGATGTTTTTGATTTTAGCCATTCGCACAGGTGCAAGATGGTGTCTCAGAGTTGTTTTGATTTGCATTTCTCTGATGGCTAAGGATGTTTAACACTTTCTTAAGTGACTTTCAGCCATTTTGGATTCCTCTATTTAGAATTGTCTATTTAGTTCAGTACCCCACTTTTTAATTGGATTAGTTGGTGTTTTGGTGACTAGCTTCTTGAGTTCTTTGTACATTTTAGAAATCAGCCCTCTGTCGGATGTGGGGTTGGTGAAGATATTTTCCCAGTCTGTGGGCTGCTGTTTTGTCTTGCTGACTATGTCCTTTGCCTTTCTTAGTTTCAGCAGGTTCCATTTATTAATTGTTGATCTCAGTGTCTGTGCTACTGGTGTTATGTTCAGGAAGCAGTCTCCTGTATCAATTAATTCAAGAGTATAGTAGTCTGGGATGGCATCTGTGGTCTCTTTCCATTTGTAGAATGTCTATACAGGACCTTCTGGCATTTAGTTTCCATGGAGAAGTCAGGTTTAATTCTGAGAGGTTTGTCTTGTATGTTACTTGGCATTTTTCCTTCAATGCTGTTAATATTCTTCCTTTATTCTGTATGTTTGGTGTTTTGATTATTATGTGGTGAGGGGACCTTTTTGTGGCCCATGCTATTTGGTGTTCTGTAAGCTTCTTGTACTTTTATTGGCATGTCTTTCTTTAGGTTGGGAAAGTTTTCTTCTATGATTTTGTTGAATATGTTTTCTGCACCTTTGAGGCAGTTTTCTTCACCTTCTTCTGTACCTAATAATCTTAGGTTTGGACATTTCATGGTGTCCCATATTTCCTGGATATTTTTATTAGGGATTTGTGTGCTTAAGATTATTTTGGTGGATGAATCCGTTTCTCCTAGTGTATCTTCATTGCCTGAGATTCTCTCTTCCATGTCTTATATCCTATTCTTTATGCTCGCATCTGTAGTTCCTGATTGTTTATCCAGCTTTTGTATTTCCAGTTCTCTTCTGCTTCATCTGTGTTGGGATGTTCAGATCTTGCTGGTGTGGAGTCCATAGACTCTGGTTGTGTCATGTTGATCTTTCTGTTTTTGAATGGGTTCTTATACTGTAGTCTCCCTATCCCTTCTTCCAGTGGGTGCTAGTGGGGTCTCTCCCTCTCCTGGTGAGTTGGGGTCCAAAGGTTTTCTTCCAGTGTGTGCAAGCAGTTCCAATACTCCCATGGCTCTTCTCTTCCTGCAGGTGGAAGCAGGAGTAGCACCTTGATATCAGCAGGCTCTGGATGGCCTGGTTCACCAGGACTGTTTCCCCTGTTAGCAATCCCCAGGCCTCAGGAGGCTCCAAGTAGGGCTCTATAAGACAGGCCGGAAATGGTCATATTTTAATTTTATATGAATTTAATTAAGAAGTTAAAAATTAAGGTTAAAGTCATGGTTCAGCAGTTAAGAGTACTGTCTCTCCATTAAGAGGAACAGTGTTTATATCTCATGCACTACATGGTGGCTCACAACCCTGGATAAGTCCCATTCCAAATTACCCCTTTGTTTTCTTCTTCTCCCCTCTGAGTCCTATGTACACAAGTTTTCAACAGACACAATTACACACAAGTCATCCCCAGACATTAAAGTAAATCTTACATAAAAGTCAAAATATGCACTTACTATTTATTTAAAATATCACATTTCTTAAAACAATATAATAAAGAGTATTTCATGACTAGTCAGGAAAAACAAATCTAAATTAACTTTATTGTAATTCCTTCCTTAGCATGGAATAAAATATACTGAATAATCATGAGGTAGAGGCAATGCTATATTATAGTCACAGAAAACTAAGACTCCTTGCAAAATCGTTTAATTTTTAACAATATTTTATAATTGAAAAAATATTTTAAAATGTTGAAAACTCTTTGGAGTTCAAATACTGTGAATAGAAATCATATTCTGTGAGTCATGGTGATTGGCTCAAATTTGTCAATGATTAAGTATATTTAAATGGTTATAAAACTGATGAAATAAGAGGCAAGCATAAATTCCCTAAATGGAAATGGAATTAAGTAATAGCATGAGGTTCATTATTAAGATGAAGTGATGGATTCGATTCACAAAAATAGACCATCCTTATGAAGCTAAAAGGGCAGGGCCTGGGTTTTTATCAAAAGAAGAGGAAATGGAAGAGATGTGACCAAATACAGGGTTGTTTTAACTGGTATCAGGAAGAATTTAGTACTCTTATATAAGAAATTCATAGATTAAACTTAGAAAAAAATATTACATCACAGAGCAACAAAGAGGAAGCAGATCAGAGACATGTGCTACACACTGCCTTTGACAGAACTGAGGGAAAGTTTGTGAAAACAAAGCAAAATGGTAGGAAATTTAATTAAAATTAATGAAAGCTGCAGAAAATGAGTTATGAGTTGAGTTTGCAAAGGCAAATGGAAGCTCATCAAACAGAAAAGAGAAAAAGAAAGCATTGTAGTCAAGATTGCTTCTCCAAAGAAGAAGTAAAATTCCATTCAAGACGAAGACATTTGGGAAGAGCCACATGTCTTGAGTATTATTTCAGCAAGCCTTCACCTGGAGCATGGAACTGCTCTGTGTGGTTTTGTATGAGACTCCCTGACAATAGTGAATTTTTATGTTTCCCAACAAATAACTACATATTGCCAAGAAAATTATATTCCTATCACATGGGATAATTTTATTGGCATTCCAAGAAAAATTAATTCAATTATTCTTATAAAACTATTAATAAGAAAAATGTATTTCCTTAGATAGAGAGAAATGTGTCTGTTATTTTCTATCCCTTTCCTCTATTTATATTTTACCATTATCACTATCATATGCGATGGCTTCTGAAGAGTTAAAACTCTTCATTTATTTTAGCAATATACTTAATTGTATTAGAAAATTGATATTAATTACTAAAGTGAAAGCCACTAATAATCACCTAATAGTCTCATATTTAATATTTAATAAAGGGTTCATTATTATGTTATACTTCATTCTTTTCCTACTGAGCTTAACATTTTTATGTCAATTTTTATTACCATGTTTATCATTCTCAGGGTTTTCACTGTATCAACAAAGCGTCTGCGAGCCTTTGTACAGCATATATTTTAGAAAGATTTAAATAAATGATTTTGAATAACATAATTGAATCCCAACATTATTCATGAAATTAAAGTTTGGTTGTTTTTTATATTTACAGATATGTATCATGTTGACATTTTGTGTGTTCAAACACTGAATTACATAATGGCGTGCAATCTGCAATGGCATTAGTACTCTATCAAACTTAGATGCGAGACTAATAATGAAATGAAACTCATTCTATTAACAGCTGTAATACCATTTAGAATACAAAAATCTGATAAATCCCCTTGAAGCTTGGAGCATGATCATATTGTCTTTTCATTTTAAATTCATTTTAATTTCTTTTTGTTTCTTTCTTGTATTTGTTTAATCTATTAGTTTGTATCTTACTTAAATACATCCTCATGCAGTCCATGGGGAAGAAAGTGATATGCAATGTGCTTTTATTCTTTTATTTATTTAGACATTATTCCTGGCTATGCTGGAATTCACCCTGCACAGCAGGCTGACCTCAAACCTGTAGTTATATCCTCCTCTCTCCCTCCCAGTTCCTGAGATTATATACTGAAACACCACACCCAGCTTAAAAACATATTTTTCATACAGCTTCTTTTGCTTTGCTTCTTTCTTCTTGTTCGGTACTTTGTGTCCAGTAAATAAAGCATAGCTTGGCTCAAAATAGATGCTTCATGAATATTTATTGTTAAATTTGTAATTTGTCAATGATTTTAATTATCACAAGGCATATTTCATATTATTCATTCTAAATAATTTTATGTTCTCTTCCTGAAAGTACTGCATCTTGGACAGGTTGTTTTCAAGATTTTTTTTTCATAAGAACTGAAAGTAACTTGATTTTTTTAATAATATGCAAACATTATTATTACATATTTTATGTGGAACATTTGTCTATACATAAGGGACTACATAATTAAAATTGAGTTAAATCTCAAGAACATTTATTGTTTACTGAATTTCTGAAGTTAATGGACAAACTTGTCAGTTGTGTAACTTAGAGTAACCACTAACTTCCCACAACATCAACATCCTTCCAGGAAATGCCATGATCTTCTGCACGATGGTCATCCTTACATGTACCAAATGACTGCTGCAGTTTTTATTATGCTGTTCATTGCTTCATTTCTAAACAAGACTATCAACAGCACCAGAAAGCAAGATGGCAGGAAGAAGATTGCCTTGGAAAATCTTCATGTGCTCTGAGCTCACTGCGAGACTGGCAATGAAAGTGCAACAACTCGCCAATGCATCACTGCACCAAGCTCAAGTGTGTTTCTGTCAAGTGTCTTCCAAGACCCTTTTGGGGTGTGCTAGACTCTTACATGTTACAGAGAGAGAAGAAAACTGCAAACAACCCAGCAGTAAAAGTATTGTGCCTTAGTGTATGGAATAGTGTATTTTTCCAACAGAAGTTGCTATTGTGTATCCCTTAGTATAAACGTGCATTCAATGGGAAAGGGCAGCCAGGAATTTAAATAAGGGAAGCTGTCCATGGAGAAAGTTCAATTGGAAACTACAGCTGGATGACTCAGTTTCCCCAGTTAGCTTTTGCTGGAGACTGTAAGCACTTGGTTTGATGATGTTATCTCTATGTGTTGCTGTTTGCTCCTTTACTTTAAAGACTCATCAGCGGGGATACATTGCTCTGCCATAATGTCTTAAAGGACCTTACCCACTCTATTTCTAGCAGTTGTTTTGAACACCTAATTTGAGATCTTCTTCTTCTTCTTCTTCTTCTTCTTCTTCTTCTTCTTCTTCTTCTTCTTCTTCTTCTTCTTCTTCTTCTCCTTCCTCTTCACTTCTTCTTTACTATCATATGTTATTTCTTTACTTTGGGTTGATATATATTTAATAAGATCATTCATTCACAACAAAATAATATTGTTATGGATGATTTCTCAGGACTCTGTAGAAAGAAAGTGAGAGGGTAGGAGAAAGGACAGAGCTGTAAGTATGGAATAGAAGAGATTTTCTGCCAGGGAAAACTAATTCTGAAGGTGTCCAGAGAATGGTCCTTCTTCACTTCCCATTGACTATAATGTGACATTCCATTGTAATCATTTTGTACATTAACTTAGCAGCCTGGGTGGATTTCATTGGTATATGTATGTTCACAAACTGAATGGGTGTTTCTGTAAAAGTTTATGAATGAGATTAATATTTAACTTATTGGAGCTGCGAATCCATTGTGTGTCTGGATAGAACAGAAGGAAAAGAAAGGCAAACTTCCCCTCTCTTTCTTTCTGAACTTATAAGTTGCTACATTGACTGTTTGATAGGTCAAGACTTAGATATCCCAGGCTGTCCTTATACTCTACATGTGTTCTAGGATTGCCTGAAACTCATAGCAATGCTCCTTCAGTCACCCAAGCTCTAATCTCAGAAGCCTACACCTCAGCATCCAACTTCTTCCTCACATTTCTCTCTTTACATGCAATGGATCTCAGGTAAGTACAACACAAGTATTTAGGGACAAGTGTATATTTCATCTATGACCTTTAAGGCTCTGTGTCTTTAGCATGTTCTACCACAGGTCTTTTGCTTGACCTCAATTGCTTCCTGATTGTCTTTCTTGTGTTTGTAGTTTATATAACCATGACATGGAATTTGCATCTTACATACTAATGCATATGTATTTCTCCTCAATCTTTTAACTCTGTCTCTCCATCTTCTCTTTGTTTCACTAGTACTACATGAGAAGAACCAAGCCGAACAATCCCAGTAGGAGTTTAGAACATCCAGCATTGCCATTCTTTTTTTTTCCAGGAACTCCAATCAGAGATAAATGACATTGCATTATGTGCAGAAACTAAAATACAAGACAATGGTGATTTTACCCAGGGTACACACTTTTTACCCCTCTTTCTAACCCCCATGACAAGACACAGAGCCTTAAAGGTCATAGATGAAATATACACTTTGTCCCTAAATACGTGTGTTGTACTTACCTGAGATCCATTGCATGTAAAGAGAGAAATGTGAGGAAGAAGTTGGATGCTGAGGTGTAGGCTTCTGAGATTAGAGCTTGGGTGACTGAAGGAGCATTGCTATGAGTTTCAGGCAATCCTAGAACACATGTAGAGTATAAGGACAGCCTGGGATATTTAGCAAAACTTTGTCTCAGTAAATGCAAAACCCAAAACAAATGAAAATGAAATCTAAGAAATGTTTGTGGAGATGGATACTGAATACCTAGAAACACAGTTGCAAGAAAACACAATTGGACTGGAAAAACTTCATTGCTATGTGTTTGGTAAATAGGAAATTTATGTTTGAGGTTCCATTATATGTGATTTTAGAAAGCAGTCTTACAGATTCTGTGGTTGATCAACTGACCAAAAAGTCATCCACAAAATTATGAACTGAAAATGCTATAATTTACTGTCTCAAAGGCTTGAGAGATTCACACATTAAAGTTGGCTTTTATTTATTACTATGTTAGAAGAATCCCTATATCACTGAGCCCTGTGGTCACTGTAGAAGATCAGATCTCAGTGATGGAGCTGTAATTATTGAATTGGAAAAACAAATGTAAGGTCAGTAATTGAGTGTTATATTGTCAGAGGTCAAATCTTTAACATTAATTACTAATGACAAGGCAGACATGAATGTGTAATGGATATGGAAATCAATGTAACAATCAGAATGTACTCACTTAGAGAAGTGTATGTCCCAACTTAACTGAGTTTACCTTCAAAGTGATGTGGATAAAAATCTTTTCTGAATTATGTATCATTAGAAAGAAAAGTTTGAACTCAAACCATACAAATGGTGTATCGTGCCCTTCAGTCAGTTCAAAGACATGACAATTTTCAGATCTATTCTACGTGAATGAAGTTGCTGGGTCAGTTTAGTAAAGGATTTTGGTATTTTTAAAAAAGATGCATTCCATTAAACCTTTCTCAATGTCTCTAGGGATCCAGAGACTTCTGTTAGATTAAGTGACGATTCAGGAAAATAAAACACTTAGAATTTTCAGGAACAACTAGTCTGTACTTTGAGATTAGCACAAATTCTACCAAATCTTTAACTTCACTTTTATACATCAAGAGTGTCCTAGGATTAAGGATTTAACAGAATTCAAGGTGCCAGTGGAGTCATTGGTAATATTCACCTCAAAGTAGGCCCCATGTATCCTGTGATTAATTCATTTATTCTGAAATGCATAATTGGAACAGACATATCCACTAGGTATTGAAATTCCCATCTTGGCTTACTGACCTATGGTGCTATTGTGGTAGAAAAGGTCAGGTAGGAGCTTGTACAAATTACTATAGTGAAGAAAAAGAACAAACTATAACAAACTCCTGGAGGGATAGCAAACATCAGTGCCATCATCAAAGACTTGAATCATGTAAGATTCCTGATTACATCTGGCCGATGGTGGTGCTCGCCTTTAATCCCAACACTCAGGGAGGCAGAGGCAGGAGGATATCTTTGAGTGTGAGGCCAATCTGGTCTACAAATCAAGTTCCAGGACAGACTCCAAAGCAATACTGAGAAACCCTGTCTCCAAACACACACAAAAAAAGTTTTCTGATTACTAGCACATTCTCTTTCAGCTAGTGTATGTTCTGAGCAGAAGTCAGAGGACTCTAGGAGAATGCAATAGGCTATTACAAGTTTAGACAGGTGGTGACTCCATTGTAATCTGTGAACCAGATGTGATTTTATTGCTTGAGCAAATTAACAATCCACTGGGACCTGGTATATATTGAGATGGCATTTTCCACATCTCTGTCCCTAAGACCAAGGAAAGTGTGTTTTGGGGTTTCAAGATCATATAGAATATATATTCTATAGATATATCATCTCATTCCAATGTTTAGTCCACACATATTTTATCATATTTATCATTCTGCAAAGTACATGAATTATAGTTTATACTGGTAGTAGCATTTTGATTAGGCAGATTAAGTTAACACTTAGGAAACAGTCCTTTGTTATTATTAAGACCTTTATATAGCTGAGTATGAGGAAGGAATCTAACAAAATCCAGGAACATATTACATCATTGAAATACCTGAAGACCCCATGATATGTGATGCATGAATGTATTGGAAACAAATAAAATGACAAATAGTTGTGTCTGGTGGGGTTTTAGAAACAAACATGAATGTATTGGAAACAAATAAAATGACAAATAGTTGTGTCTGGTGGGTTTTTAGACCCAACAGACTCAAAATCAGTGTTTTAGAGAATTAATTATTTATTTTGTAATTTCATTTTATGTTCCAAACACAGTTCTCCCTCTCACAGCTCCTTCCACCCCTTCCTCTTCCCCAGCCAATTCCACATCCACTCCTCCCATCTGGGTAAGGGCACCTGAGGTGTCAACAAAGTCTGGTACATTAATTTGGTGCAGGACCAAAATCCCTCCCCAATGCATAAATCAGTTTTACCATAAGCTACTAATAATAGAGGTAAATTTAGTTGAAAATGAGATACAACAGGGACGATTTTAGAGTAGGTGCACAGAATTCAGTGTTATCTACAGCTTGTATCTACTTGCATTCTGTTCCCTCATCAACTGCAGTCTTTCAGTGAATGATTGTTTATAGCTTCTAGAAATATAAATACTAATATGTCCAAAGATACTTCGTAGTTATGTTTTGATTTGCATTTTCCTGATGATTAAGAATGTTGAGCACTTTCTTACACAATGGAGTACTACTCAGCTGTAAAAACACTGATGACTTCATGAAATTTTCAGGCAAATGAATGGAACTAGAAAAAAGATCATTATGGAAAAATCAGAAACAGCTGAATCAAGCTCATGGAAACTCATGAACTCTAGACCTACACCTGTGGAGATGCCAGGGGACGAAACTAGGCCTTCCATATAAGTGAGACAGTTGTGATGCTTGGACTATCAGAAATGTCCCTGGAAATGGACCATGATACAAACATGGTACCTGAGCTAGCTTGTTGGAGCCCATTCCTTAGGGTGAGATGCCATGCTGAATGACAGTAGGATGATATTATAATCCTGGTACATGAGCTAGATTGTTGGAACCCATTCCCTATGGTGGGAGGTAGGATGCCATGCCTAATTTTAATGCATGGGAGACAGACTGGGCCCTGCCCCAACCTAATGAGCCAGACTATGCTGACTCCAAATGTGGAGGAGTAGACTGGAGGTAGGATATGGGGGAGGTAATGGTGGGTGGGAGGAGGCAAGGGGGTGGGAGAAAGAAAGGGGTAGGGGGAGGAAAGGGGGATGGGAGAATTTGGCTTGGAATGTAAAATGCAATCAAAAGTCAAAAGTGGAAAAGAAAATACAAATTAAAAAACAATACATTCACAAGAACATAGAGGGACACATACATGAATCAGATAACATGCTTGCTATGTGTCTAATGTGTTTTTCTGTCCCCTATGCTTTAAAGTTGCAATGAGATTATATCACACTATTTTTAACCTAAATACAACACTACACTGATTAATTTTCCAATTTTAGGGAAAGTGCTACTGATGTTTTAACATTCCACTTTAAAATTCTATGTGATATATATTTGATGTTTATTTGAAATTAAGCCAGGTCTTTCTCTCTCTCTCTCTTTCTATATATCTAATTGTTTTCATATGCATTACATCCTGATCAAAGTTTTCTCTTCTTCCACTACTCCTAGTCCCTCCCCACCTCCATTCTCTGACAGATTCACCTTCCTGTGTGAGAGAGAGACAGAGAGACAGAGACAGACAGAGAGCAAGAGACAGAGAGAAAGAGAGAGAGACAGAGAGAGAGAGAGAGAGAGAGAGAGAGAGAGAGAGAGAGGAAGAAGACCTCAAATGGGCAGACCAAAAATAGAAAAACAAGTTACAATAATGCTAGGTACAAACCCTCATATCAAGGCTGGGTGAGACAATCAAGTAGGAGGCAAAGTTTCCCACATGCAAGCAAAAGTCAGAAACATCTCTGCCAATCCAAGCCTGGGGCAAGAACACCCAAGAACACCAAGCTACAAAAGCATGAGTTATACGTGAGTTATAAGCAGAGGACTTGTCTCAGACACGTTGGAGCTTCAGTCTCTGTTAGACCCTATGAGCCCTGCTTCGTTGATTGTGTGGCCATATATTTGTAGGGGCCCACAAGTGACTCAGTTTCCATCTGAAGTCTATTCTGGCTTATAAGACATTCAAGTTCAAGGTTATTTCAGTCTCCTTGAGAGCCATGAGAAAGTTCTGATTAAGCCCATTGGATATAAAATATTATCTTTCTAACGAGCTACTGATGCCAGCTTTAGGCACACAGATAATGCTAGTAGGACTCACATGATCGATAGTGAACCCACTGCTCCTTGATTCAAGGAGAGTACAGGGAGTTGGTTAACTGATTATGCTGGTCCTTGTTCTGCTTTCCCTGTAGTCTGTATATAAGCAGGATCTTAATTGAACTTGTGGCTGTCCCAGTGTGCTAAAAGACATGACTGGGCAGTCCTGAGGAATCTAACCTGCATTTCTATCTGTTTCTTTATCTGTCGTTTCTCAATCCTCACATACCTACTCAAGTAACCCATCTGACTCATTGGAGCAGGCTCTGACATATTTTCCTGGTGTCCTCAACTTCTCTGGTTTCTATAGTCATTCCTGCCCTCTTTTGCAGGGTTCCCCTGGCTATGTCTCATGGTTAACTGTGGGTCTTTGCTTCTGCTCCTATCAGTTGCTGGAAAATTGGTGGGGCTTGCCTTGAATGTCTGAGTTGTTTTGGTAGGATGAACATTTTTAGTCTGTTAATCCCATTGATCATGAGCATGGAGATCTTTAATTTCTTAATTTCATTCTTCAAAACTTGAGGATTTTTGCATACAAGTCTTTTACTTGGTTGGCTAGAGTTACCCCAAGAGAATTCATATTGTTTGTGGCTATTGTGAAGTGTTTTGTTTCTCTGATTTCTTTCTCGGCAAAGTTACCATTTATGTATAGGAGGGCTACTGAATTTTCTTTTAATTAATATTGTAT